GGAGTGCAGTGGCATGATCTTGGCTCACTGCAACCACCGCCTCCAGCTTCAAACAATTCTTCTGTCTCAGCCTCCTGAGTAGCTGGGATTACAGGCATGTGCCACCATGCCTGGCTAATTTGATATTTTTAGTAGAGATGGGATTTCTTCATGTTGGTCAGGCTGGTCTCAAACTTCCGACCTCAGGTCATCCGCCTACCTCGGCCTCCCAAAGTGCTGGGATTACAGGTATGAGTCACCGCGCCCAGCCTTCTGTTTTCTTATTCACCCTGAATTTTATGTTCAGCTACCTGACTTTACAACACCTCACATCCCTTATCATTGTCACCCTCTCCAGGCTGCATCTGTAGTACCCAGCAGGTTTGAGAGCATACTCTCCCTGTTCCCTCCCTTGGAATGTTAGTGGGAATTGGTACCATTATTTTTGGATTCCAACATTAGCTGGTCCTTTGATACCAATATTCAGTCATTTTATTTGTCCATAGTTAGCTTCCTTTTCCATATCCTGGAAGGTATTTCCAGTATTTAGTACTGTTTTCTTTCCATTAGACATCATGATGGCCTCTCATTTTACAAATAAAATAGAGGCTTTCAGACCTAACTCCTGCTTATGTCCTTCCCCCAGCTGGCATCTGTTAGACTTCTTGCTGGAATTAAAGTGACCTTGACTTCTGCAACATCTCACCTTTGATGTGTGAGAGCCTATTTATAATTTTGTCTTGTCTCTCTGCTTTTGAATCCCTTCCCTAGAAATAATAACTAAACAACTAAAAAGTAAAATTAATTACATATTATTTATTTTAGTTATTTATTTATTTTCTGAAATATAATCTCACTCTGTCACCAGACCGGAGTGCAATGGCGCGATCTTAGCTCACTGCAATGTCTGCCTCCTGGGTTCAAGCGATTCTCTTGCCTCAGTCTGCTAAGCAGCTGGGACTACAGGCATGTGCTACCATGCCCAGCTAATTTTTGTATTTTTAGTAGAGACGGGGTTTCGCTATCTTGGCCAGGATGATCTTGATCTCCTGACCTCTTGATCTGCCTGTTCCGGCTTCCCAAAGTCCTGGGATTACAGGTGTAAGCCACCATGCCTGGCTTAATTACGTTATTTTTTAAAAACCTTAATAAGCTCTCTCATTGCCTTTAGTTTAGATTGAAAATTTAGTTTCTGCAGTATTGATTTTCTGTAATGGGGTTGAGAGAAAATTGACTGGTGATCCTGTCCCAATTCACAAAAGGATGGATTTTTTTTTTTTTTTTTTNTTTTTTTTTTTTTTTTCCATTTTGAGTTCTTCTCTGGATCTCTAAAAATTTTACTACATGCTACCACTTTTTTTATACTTAAAGGTTTAATCATAATGAAGAACTTATGTAACAATACTTCTCCTAAAAGTACTTCGAGTATTTTCCAGGATTTTTTTTAAAGTTTTATTTTAGGTTCAGTGTTACATGTGAAGGTTTGTTACATAGGTAAACTCATGCCATAGGGATTTGTTGATTATTTCATCACCGAGGTATTAAGCCCAGTACCCAATAGTTATTTTTTCTGCTCCTCTCCCTCCGCCCACCCTCCACCCTCAAGTAGATCCCAGTGTCTGTCGTTTTCTTCTTTATGTTCATAAGTTCTCATCATTTAGTTCCCATGTGTAAGTGAGAACATGTGGTATTTGGTTTTCTGTTCCTGCATTAGTTTGCTAAGGAAGATAGCCTCCAGCTTCATTCATGTTCCCACAAAAGACATAACCTCATTCTTTTTTATGGCTGCATAATATCCCATGGTGTATATGTACCTCACTTTCTGTCATTGATGGGCATTTATGTTGATTCCATGTCTTTGTTATTGCAAATAGTGCTGCAGTGAACATTTGTGTTTGTGTATCTTTATGGTAGAATGATGTATACTCCTCTGGGTATACCCAGTAATGATATTGCTGGGTCGAATGAAGGTTCTGTTTTAGCTCTTTGAGGAGTCGCCATACCGCTTTCCACAACAGTTGAACTAATTTACACTACCACCAACAGTGTATAAATATTCCCTTTTCTCCTCAACCTCTCCAGCATCTGCTATTTTTTAACTTTTTAATAATAGCCATTCTGACTGGTGTGAGTGAGATGGTGTCTCATTGTGATTTTGATTTGTGTTTCTCTAGTGATCAGTGATATTGAGCTTTTTTCATATGCTTGTTGGCCACATGTATGTCTTCTTTTGAAAAGTGTTCATATCTTTTGCCTATTTTTATTGTCTTTTTATGAATTTAAGTTCCTTATAGATGCCGGATATTAAACCTTTATCAGATGCACAGTTTGCACATATTTTCTCCCATTCTGTAGGTTGTCTGTTTTCTTTGTTAATAATGTAGTTGATAGTTTCTTTTGCCATGCAGAAATGTATTACCACTTTTATTATCACCTGTTATGGGGTGATATTTGAAATAGCTTGAACTTTTACACTTAGTATTTAAGTATACAAATGTCAATTTTCAAAGCCTTTCATAGTTTGACTCTATCATTGTCAACCTTATTCACGGCCATGGCTCACCTTAGAATCTCGCAAAATTTGTTTCAATTCCTGACTGCCGCTGTTCACTGTAAGACCTTGGCATGACAGTCAAAATGGTGTTAACAGTACTTACCTTTTCTGATTTTGAGGATTAAATAAAATAATGAAGTTAAAGTGCTTTGTTCAGGGCCTGGCACATAGTAAACACTCAAGAAACATTAGCTGCTCTTGTATTATTGTTGTGGCTGCCTTACTCCTTATCCTGAATGTGCAAAGTTATTCATGCCTTTGTTCACACTATTTTCAGGCCCTGGAACACCTTACGCCTTCCTCCTCCCACTTCTTGTGCCGACTTCTCTCTCGGAATTAGGGCTTCTAAGAAACTTTTCCAAGCATGTAGTCCTTTACCATCCACCCCTGTCTTTACATAGGCATTCCCTCATTGGTGCTTTTTGTACATATCTCTACTTGGATTATTGCATTTCATTACACTTTGGACTTTGAGTTCCTTTTCAGTGGTAGGGACTAGTTCTCAGTCTATTTATATCCTGGTGTTACTGTCCTGCCCTGCAGCTAGCAGGTTTTTTCAGTTGGTAAATATAAATGCTGTCATCTAGGTTCTCTCATTTAATCCCCTCAGCCACCCTGTGAAAGGGAGTTGTTACTATCTTCAGTTTCCAGTTAAGGAATCAGGCTGGTTGAGGTTAAATGATTTGCCCCAGGCTACTTAGTGTGTAAGTGCTGTAAATCTAGAAGTCCTCACATTTAATCATTTATTACTGTTGTATAGATAGCCTCTTATACCTGATATTTGTCTTTATAATATCAGTAGAATAACATTTAAGTTTGGAATGTGTAAGACATCCTAAGGAATTGGGATTCTGCTGATTCAGAATCGTTATAGTTTCATCTGTGTAGAGATTGCTTTCTTTTTACTATAAAAATTGCTTATTTAATATTGCTTAGCAAAACAATTGAGTATATAAATGCATTTAAGATACTGAACTTTGTATAGAGCATTTGCTCAATAAATTTGTAGCGTTGTTTATACTTAAAAGAATTAACATTGTATTTTTTTCAAAATTCCGATTTTCACTGATTTCAATTAGCTTTTATTAAATTTTATTTATTTAATAATATCCTTGAGATAATTATGTATTTGTATGTGAATGATAGGCCTTTCTTGATCCTTATAGGATTGTCATTTAGGATCATTTAGATAACCTAATGACTTGTTATGACCTTTGTGTTAAGTGAAAAACATTGCTTCTGATAGCTGGGGTAGGGAAACATTGTTAAACTACAAAATTACTGCATTTTATTAACTTTATAATATTTTAAAGTCACATTAGCAGTGTATATGTTGATTCTAGTTATTCTGGAAGATGTAATTGTGGTTTGAGTTATATCATAAATTTCAAAGAATGCGAGACAGTTTCTTATTTTTAAAGAACAAGGAATAGAATTGAAAATGAGCAGAATTTATTGTCTTATTGATTGTCTTATTGTATAATCTTCAGATTTAATTTATGGATTTACTTTGCTTTATTGTTTTTGTTTTTAAGGTTTGCTTATTTTAAAAAATATTTGTAAGCATTTTCATTACAGAGCATAGTAATGAAAGATTTCATCAAGAATTTCACCTCTGTAACAGTAATATTTATATTTGATTTTAGGGAAGCTATGCGAAATTATTTAAAAGAGCGAGGGGATCAAACAGTACTTATTCTTCATGCAAAAGTTGCACAGAAGTCATATGGAAATGAAAAAAGGTAAGATTATTATTTTTCTGGTGGATAGTTAATTGTAGTTACCACATGAATTTGCCACTTATGTATTAATATCCATGTCAGAGATTGGCTTTTATTACTGGGTTCATTTGCTAGTATGAAATAAAAAATAGGGGATTTGTCTCTGGAAGGAGAGAAACAGTGAATTGTGGTATACTTAAGACAGAAGGAGAATTTAATAAAGGTCACCTGGTTAAATCCCTGATCTTACAAAATGAAATAATTCACATTTTTTTTTTGGGGGGGGCGGCTACATAATATTCCCCAACTACTTGTGTGATACGCTTATTCACAAAGAAGCTTTTCTTTTAGTGGGAAATGTAGTTTTTTAAACAATGTCACCCCCAAAAGTACCGTTTTGAAAAGGAACAGGCTAAACATTCTCTTGATCCTAAAACTCTATTGAGCTTAAGTTAATTGAGCTATGGAGTGATTATAAAGAAAACTCCTGGCCCCTCTCTTGATCCTATACGTGTCTGGGTTGCTGTTAAGAAGAAACAGCAAAACTGGGTTCATACTCTCATACTGCCTGAATGTGGACTCAACAGAAATTACCTATAAAGTAGATTAACCAAAATTAAATTACAAGGTGATTTAAAAAAAAATTATTTCTCGCAGTATTCTATAAATTTCAGCTTTTGTGTGTGTGTGTAATTGGGGACTTTCACACCAAGTTGTTTCTTCACTTGGTATCTGTAATTTTCTAGTGAATAGTTTCTTGAGTCTCTCAAACAGCATTTTTTGGTTAAGCATTTTATGGAAAAAGCCTGCTTATGGAGAAGGATCAAAGGTTTTTTTTTTTTTAATTGGCTAGAAAGATACCCAACTGAAGAGAAAAGGAATGAAAACTAAGGTTTGGGGTTGAAGAAACCTCAGCTTATGCTTAAGAGAAGGGAAATATAATATGTATGTGGTTAAATTAACTTATATGCTAAAAGAGAATTAGGAAGTTCCTTGAAGCTGACTAGATCTGAGCTAAGAAGAAGGTAAAGCTTTTTTTTTTTTTTTGAGATGGGGTCTCACTGTGTTGCTCTGGCTGGAATGCAGTGGTATGATTTCCGCTCACTGGGCTCAGGTGATTCTCCCACTTCCACTTCAGCCACCGGAGTAGCTGGGACTATAGGCACTTACCACCATGCCTGGCTAATTTTTGTATTTTTTTATAGCGGAGTTTCACTATGCTGCCCAGGCTGATCTCAAACTCCTGGGCTCAAGTAGTCCACCTGCCTGCCTCCGCCTCCCAAAGGATTACAGGCATGAGCCACCGTGCTTGGCCAAGAAAGTAAAGCTATTTAATTGGGAGTTTTATCCTCAAAGATGAATAAACAAAAACAGTATTTATTATTCATACTACCAGGTGTTGTTATTCAGGCTTACTAAATTTCTGATTATCTTACTTTACTAATAAAAACTTAAACACTGATATAGGGTTAAAAATGGAAAGAAGTTGGTATCTGTAGTTTGGGACATTGCATACCAAATCAAATTACTGGTCCTTTCCCCCCTCCCCCCCATGAAATTTATACTAGAAATTCAGTATTTTTTCCCATTAATGAAATTTTGTGTTTATAGCAAGTTTTCTGCTTTTTAAGCAAAACAGAAAAAGTCAACACCCATCATTATGGAAGAAGAATCTAAAAGGCCAGCTGTGCACTCATAGTGAATCTTAGGTAGAAACTGTTTCATATTGGCTCCAATCATGAGCCAGACATTGTTCTGAAAGTGCTTTATAAATATTTTAAAGTTATAAGCCTCAGAGAAATTTTGTGAAGTTGTCATGTTATGAACCAAATTCTGTGGGCGAAGAATCTAAAGATCAGAGATTTTAAATGTGTCCAGGTTGACATTAGTTAGGAATCTGTGGAGCTAGGATTGGAACTCCTGAGGGACCGATTTCAAATATTTACCCTTTTTGCTACCCTAATTACCACAGCATTCCATTCGCCTTTGAGTGTTGGTTATCTAGAGTAGGGCTTGAGGAGGAAGAGATCCTTTAACCACATAAACTTTGTAAACTTAACTTTGCCTAGGACTATCCCTTTAACCATTACCTAGCTGAGACTGGGCTAGCTGTAACTGAATTATGAATAGATGTATGTTTATCATATAGCTTCAAACTTGGGCATGCTGTTTTTCTTTCTCTGGATTTTTGAAGATGCATTTTAGTACAATTGAATTCACTTATTCTTTATTTATGATTGGCTATTGTGTGCCAGGTTTTGTGCAAAAGGACCTTTACCAGGAGTTTTAAAAGTCACTGTGTCATTTAATAACTAAGGCCCAGTAGAGATAACAAAAGGGGAAGAGCATTTAGAAAATTGCGTTAAAGTCTAGATAAGGTTTCTGTTCGTAAATACAGGCAGGTATGGTTACCCATGCCTGTAATCCCAGCACTTTGGGAGGCAAAGGAGGGTGAATCGCTTGAGGTCAGGAGTTCGAGACCAGCCTGGCCAACATGGTGAAACCCCCATCTCTACTAAAAATTCAAAACAGCTGTGTGTGGTGGCAGGTGCCTGTAATTCCAGCTACTCAGGATGCTGAGGCAGGAGAATTGCTTGAACCCGAGAAGCAGAGGCTGCAGTGAGCCAAGAGCACACCACTGTACTCCAGC